AGTCCCAACCCCTGCCATGGGCAGGGCTGCCACCCAGCAGCTCCAGCTGCCCAGGGCCCCATCCAACCTGGCCTTGAATGCCTCCAGGAATGGGGCACCACACCCTCTCTGGGCAGCTGTTCTAAGCATCCTCAAGGCCCTCCTCTGGACCCACTCCAACAGCTCCACATCTTTTTTTTTTGTGCTGGAGGCCCCCGGATGCAGTATTGCAGGTGGGACCTCACAGGGCAGAGCTGAGGAGGACAATCCCCTCCCTTCTCTCTGCTGCCACCTCTCTGTTGATGCAGCCCAGAACACAGTTGGCCTTGCAGGCTGTGGGTGCACACTTCTGCTTCATGTCCAGCTTTTCATCTGCTGGAACAACCAAGTCCTTTTCTGCAGGGCTGCTCTCAGTCCATCTGGTTGTAGAGAAAACAGGGAAAAGGCACCATAGTGGCAGAATAGATTTCTTTTTGTTTTTCTTCTCCCACAAGGTGGCACTCCTCTCTGACCCCTATGCACAAAATTTTTCCTGTTCTGGATGCAAACAAGATTTGGGGTATATTGCTGGCTTGCTTGGCTCTACAGCTTTTCTGGCTCTTTTTCTTTGTTTTTTGAGGCTTAATTTCAAATGATTTTCCTACCCAAACCATTCCTTGTGCAGACAGTCAGCTGTTGAAACTGTAGACCAGTCAAGCTTTTCAGAATATTAAAACACAAGTAAAATCTCTGTGTTTAAAGTTATGGGGAGGTGATGTGAAGGAAATGGTGTAATACTGGTCAAGTTGGTGATAATGTAGGGGACTTAATTTTGTCTTTCTGGTTTCCAGTTCTTAAACACCTAATCTCCTCACAGCTAGTAATTTCTAGTCGCAGCTTCTGCAGCAATTAGAAACAGTCATTTTAGATGCATTTGCTCTTGTGGACTTACAAGGCTGGGCTTTTGAAGTCTTCCCTAAGGTGAAGTAAGTGCTCTGTTAGGTGCATTCATGGGTATCTCTTTCCATTCTTTAACAACACCTCCTTTACAGACATAACACTGCTTTTCTAGGGGAAAAAAAAAAAAGTTGTTATCTTTGAGACAATCAGAATTTAATTTGTTTCCACCAGAAACAGCCTCACATAAATGAGATTTAAATTATTATACTGGTATGTAAGATTTTCTTTTCTTATGAATCGTTTTTGTTGTATAGCAGAAATAACTACCTTAGTAAATCAGTTTGTATGAAATTAATAACAGACTAATTAGAAGACTATGAAAAACAGTACTGTTGTTGTCATGAGCATCAGTTTCTAGGTCTTGATTTTTTTTATTTTTCTGTTTACTGTCTTGAAATCGTAATTGAAACCGAGATATGATTTCAAGTAATTCCTAAGTTCTGACTATATGTTAAAGGTTGGCAGTGTTCTGGATCCACTGCTGAGACTGCTTTTCAGCAAAGTTCAGATTACTGACGCTTGCTTAGATCCCCATAGATCACATGCAGTGATTGGCTTCTGGAGCTTCAATTTATATCTGCAGTTCTCAACAGAACTAAGTTTATCCTCTCCTCAAGGCTGCTGCATGTACTGTGGACCACCCTGCTTATGTTCAAGCTAAGAGGGGAACTGTCTGGTTCTCCTTCCCCTTACCATGACTTGTGCCAACTCTTCCCTCAAGTGGCAGTAGTTGGAATCAGGAGTGGTGGTGCAGCGTGGTACAGTGAAGGATGTCCTCTGGCTTCTGTGTAAGAATGCTGGAGGAAAAGCACTCTGAGTTTACAAGTGTCCCGTCCATCATTTAAAAAAGCAGAACTTGGATTTTTCTGGTCTGGAGCACTAGATGATCCCTTCATTTACAATAGATGAAGCAGATAAAGAAAGACATACGTACTTTTTTTTTTTAACCATTAAATCAAAACAGTGTGGCTTATATAAGGCCCAAAGTTATTAAAAATCCTTCCAAATGTTCCATCCTGTCCTGAATTAATCTGTTTGTTGGAGCTTTGCTTCTGGGTCACATCTGCAGATGAATCAAAAGAACTGTCCTGAATGTCATTCAGTTTTTATTGCTGCTGCTTTAAAAGAAAAACACAACACACACACACAAAAATTCAAACCCCAACCAAATCAGTAGTAAATCCTGGCTTTATCCTCTTAATTTGCTGAATTAACTCTTAATTCAGCTTAAGAAATGTTAATCATCTATCCTAAAGAATGTTGGACTGTTGGACTTCTCAATTAAAACTTCATAAACGTTTAGTGAACTATTGGAATTACACATTGATGCTCAATACGTTGGCTTTCCACCTTGTTTTCACTGTTGGGCAGTCAGTTTCTTCAGGCTTAGAGAGTTCTGTCCCCGAGGCATTGACATGAAAGTGAAGTTGTCTGTGACAACTTACTGCAGAAAGGGCTCGCCTGAGCTTTATAAGGCTCTGATTTATGGGGAGGCAGTCGCTGATCACGTCCTTTTCAGTAAAGCATGAGCCTCTTAGGCCCATCCATTCTGATGAAGGCAAGGTGGTTGTGTGGTTTCTACAGGAATTAATGAAGGCTTCAATGCCCATGTTCCCCCTTTGCTGTCCCTTCTTCGTTCCCTTACCCTTTCCAAAGCAGTTTAGCATGTTACCCCATGTTATGTGCACAGATTTTACCTGTGTTCTGTGAATGATATCTCTCCAGTTGAAAGTGCTTCAGCAAATCATATGGCATTTAAAAATTGCCCCAACTCGGGAATAACTAATGCCTCATCCTTACACGTCAGCATTGCTTCCAGCAATCATATCACACTGAGCTAAGGTATTTTGCTTGGTCTGGGGGAGCTGCAGGTCCACATGGTTGCTGTGATGGTACTCTGTGCTATTTGTTTATCTTTGCCAAACCATTTGTGGGTGCCCCATGAAGAATGACCTCATTGCGGCTCTCACCTGCAGCATTCAGGCTCTGTAGCCTCTGCATTTACTCCCACTTCTTGGGTCTTCTCTTTCATTGCCCTTACATTACAATGCTGCTTGCTTCTTCTTCAGTGACAGAGCTCTGTTTTGGTTTAATGGTGTGCAGTGCATTTGGAAAAAAAAAAATGGGTTTCATAGTGAAGCACAACTTTTGAGAGGGTACCGAAGTCTTGAGTTTTCAGTCAGTGCTGATAGAAGAGAACTTGCTTTGTTGGTGTATATGGGGTGTCTGACCACTTTATGAATGTAATGCTTTATTGGTTTATATATCCTTCTGAATCGAGACTTTGCCTCCACCTTTTAACTACTTAGTGAAGGACATGATCACTTTCAGCCTTCCTCCTGAAGATTTATGTGTATCATTTCTTTGCAGAGTTTCTGAACCTGTCACTGATCCAGGTGATCCATATATGTACCCAAGCTATTTAAAGGAATTTATGAAGATAAGTTCCTTTAGTGTTCTGCCAATTTCTTCTTTTAGTGCATAATTATCTTCCAAAAGTCCATGGGCCGAGAAGATGAGATTCAGATCCTGTCCCTGCCAAGATACATTGTGAAGTCTTTATGTTCTCAGTGCAGGCTGTAGTACAGGCACTGTTGTACTGAAGGGTCCAGAAATGAGACCATTGAATTTGGTAAAACAGCAGGGTGTTGCTGGGGAATGAATAGAGAAACCTCACTCCTATGCTCTCTCTGAGGTATGCTGACCCCTTTTCACAAGGTTTATTGATGTGGTGATAATTCATGCCATGAGAGATTAAAACGTTACTGCCCGTGAGCTCCCCAGATCTCTCAAGTCCCACTTCAGTGCTTTAGCCAGAGGTCCGTTCCTGCTTCATTTGCTCTTCAGTTAGTACAAGTGATGAACAGTGTTTGCTCTTTCTCTCCTGTGCCTGCATGGCTCTGTTTAGTTCTGTTTTGTTCTGTTGGTGTGGAGATCCTTCCCTCTTCCAGAGGCTCTGTGCAGGCAGAGCCTGGCCCCTCACGCTTCTCAGGGAGAGAGCGCTTTGCTTCTGGCCTCGCTGCTATCAGCTCTGCTGATATGCCCACTGAAGGTTAGAAACCATTCACTTGTAGGCACTGAATTCCTTGCGTGTTAGGAACTGAGTGATGACTGGGAGTTACCAAGGCTGAAATGCATTTTCCTTCTACTCTGGAAGCAGGGCACTGGGATAGATAGAGCATTTTTTGGCATCAGTGTGAGCAAGAGCAGCTGCTGGCTTCCATTTACCCTCAGTCGCACACTGGAGCGTCTTGGCAGACCTAACTGGAAACTGATCGGGTTTAAAAACAACTCATCAGGATAAACAGTATGTTTATTTTTAATTTGGAGCTGTTCCTCGTCAGATCACTGCTTGGATCCACACAAAAGTTGTGGATAACCAAAGAGGTGTCTCAGTGCCATAGGTGAAGGACGAGCAGAACCAAGACCCAAATTCATAGGTGTCGGAAAGGATTTAAAAGAGGGGGACAACTGCCTGGAGTGCTTTGGGACACCTTTTGATTGTGGAGTGGGGCAGGGAGAAGAAAAAATAATGGATTTTTTTCTTTTCTTTCCAGTGCTTTATGTTATGATGGGACTGTACAGGAAACCTTGATACTTGTGAAAAGAATTTGTACTGGCAGGGCTGCGGTTCTGTAGGAACTGGTAAAATGCTCAAACTGGCAAATGGTTTTGTTAGGAGCAAGGGGGTAATCGAGTCTTTGCTTCTGGCCTCACAGACAAACTCTGGGGTTCCTCTCAGCCCCTAGCTACTGATTCTGTTTGTGTTATCACACCCATTGTAGGTTGTTCTGCACATAATGTATTTTTCCACTTGTAATTTTCATCTTGAGACAAACCTCTTCTGTGGTACGAACTCAGCAGCCCACCCATGGCTAGTTGTTCTGTTCTCTGGGTGTCCCTCTTGCATTGGCTGGGTTTTGTAGTCTCCTCCAAAATGTAGGTTAGACGAATCCTGCTTCTCCAGAGGCCCTCTCACTTTGCTGTCAGCTTCGTTAGATTTCCAGGCATCCTCTTTCTTCCCATACAGGGCACGTAATGCTGAAACCATTGCTCACACGTTGTGTCCTTTTCATTCATAGGGGACGGTCTTTAGTTTGGAATCTGAAGAGGAGGAGTACCCCGGCCTCATCGCAGAGGACAGTAATGATATCTACATTCTGACCAGTGACAACTCAGGCCAGGTGAGCCCCCCAGAGTCCCCGACGGTGACCACGTCGTGGCAGTCAGAGAGCCTGCCTGTCTCCCTGTCAGCAAGCCAGAGCTGGCACACAGAGAGCCTGCCCGTCTCCCTGGGGCCGGAGTCCTGGCAGCAAGTGGCCATGGATCCTGAAGAAGTCAAGAGCCTGGATAGCAACGGTGGGGCTGAAGAAAGGAGCGAGAACAACTCTTCTAACTCCGACATCGTTCACGTGGAGAAGGAAGAGATACCAGAGGGGATTGAGGAAGCAGTGGTGTCAGCAGTCGCTGCAGAGACCGTGCAGGCAGCGTTTCCAGAAACCGCTGCTTCTTTACAGGAAGTAAAACCTCAAGCTGAAATTGTTGCTGTAGAAAAAGCACATCCCTCTGCACGTCGTACAAAACAGGAGAAGGGAAAAGTGGCCGAAGAGCTTGTTGAACCTGAGATCCCCGTGTTAAGTAAACCTGTCCCTAAGTTAACCCCATCGGAAGAAAAGGCTGCGCCAGAACCTGAGAAAATACTGCTTCCAGGGGAAAAAAAAGTGGGGAAAGAAGGCCCTTTGGAAGAAATAGAAGAGAAATCCTCCACTGCAGAGGAGAAGCCTATCTTATTGCCAGAAGGGAAATCGATATTGCTGTACGGTGGGGCTGCTGCGGTAGCCATATTGGCTGTGGCAGTCGGAGTAGCGCTGGCGCTTAGGAAAAAGTAAGAGCTCTCTTGAGGAGGAGGAGGGGGAGAGAGAAGCAAGCGCAATCCAATTGTTGTAGTTGTGTTACCTAAAGGTTGAGCTGCCTGCTGTGTAATTGGACATTTGAGTAATGGTGACGGGGTGAGGTCATTCAATAAGCCTCCAGCTATGGACAATCACGTTTTTAGTAGAATTGGGGCGGGGACTGGTTTTTCCTGATTAAAGTACAGGGGTATTTTTAAAGAAAAAAAAAAAAAACAAAACAAAAACAACACAATAATAAATTCTGCAAATGTAAGAACTTAAGTGCAGGTGCTGAGGAACGGGGTGCTCGTACTCGAGGAACTGGAACAGAGAATTCCTGGGGAAGGGTAGAGCCAGCTGCTGCCAACCCCTGGATTTTTTGGCTTCTCCAAGCGACTGCTGCTGCAGCTGTGCTGTCCTGTCACTTCCCTGCGCTTCCCGAGCCCTTCCTAGCCCAAGTCCTGCAGCGAGAGGCTGGTCTCCTTCTAGCTCAGCTTCCTCTCAGGTACTGCACTGCTCCTTGTAACCTCGCAGGTTCCTCTTAAACCCCAGCAGGAGAGTGCTTATTCTTACCTCTTCGCTCCCACCCGTTCTGGCCCTTAACAGTTTCTGAAGCCTCCATACAGATGCTGCCTCTCTGTAGCAGTACTCGCTCTGAGCACCCCGTGTTCTGCAGGGAGAGGTGCACACAGCACCTGCTGCTGTGGGGCAGGGTGGGAGGGCCGCTGCACTTGGCTGGTCTGGGAACCCATTTGCCGTGTTCCTGCCCACCTCACTGCCACCCTTCAGATAGTGGAGTTGCACAGCTTACACTGGACATGGTGCCATTCGGTAAGCACTTGGATACCAGAGTGTATTCAGCAAAGGTGTGGCAAAACTGTGTGCAAGGAAGGCGGATGCCTCCTGTGAGATTCGCAGGTTCAGTGCTCTTTTGTCCTGTGTCATGCTGCAGTCTGTATTGTCTTTCACAGGTTAAGCACAGGGGGTATGTAGTCCTACTGTGGTTTTGGTGACAGAATCCCACGTATATAAAGCAATGGATTCTGGTCACTAAGCAAAACAGCATCAAACACCTTTCCCTATTTGCCCGTTCCCAAGTTGACCTGGAGTGTTGTGCAGTGCAATTTCTTTTGCGACTCTGAATGTGTAACAGTTGGGTGACGTTTGCAGGTTCACAAATGATGAGAATTTAACTGTGGAAAAAGCAAATCCCTCTTCCTGCAGACACAACGCTTCAGGTGTGTGCAAGGAGAAGCCTTTAAGGCACTGCTGTACCAACAGAGCTGGCCACAAGCTTTCCTTTTGGAGTGTGTTTGTGTCCCTCCTGCTCTGTACTGCAGCTCTATGCGTAAGGTCGCAGATTGTCCAGGCAGAAATAGTGATGCATCTCTGAGGGCTGATGCTGGCACTGTGGCTTAGAGCAGGTGGAGATAGGGGAAAGGGGACTCGGGATAATGTAAAAATCAAAATGTGAGCTTACGGTAAGCTTACTCTTCATAAAGCACAAAGACAAGGTACTTTATCTCTAAACAACCTTATCTAGAGTATTTCCTGCAATGAGCCTGTTTCTTAAGTGATCTGAAAATCCAGAGATTTTTAGCACATTCTGTTTCAGCTTATTGTTGGTCCCATCCCTATCCCATTCATGCTGGTAAGTCAGTAAGAAGCTGGCAGAGTCTGGGGAATTCTTTGTTTAAGGTTTTTTGAGAATGGATTTTGTAGAAAACTTCTCAGGTTTGGATTTGTGTGACTTTGAATGCTGAAAGGAAGGACTGTTACGTGTGTACCCCTGCTAGGAGGGGAGCCCCAGCTCAGGTGCTGTGGATCAGCAGTGTGTGGGTCAGAGATGGCTTTTCTGTGTTTAAAAGGGAGCAAGCTGGCCTTAAATAAACCAAAAAGCACCACCAACAACAAAACCCAAAACATAAACTATATTGCAAAATGGAATTGGCTTTGTGTGCTCCTTCTGACATGTAAGAACATATAGAGTTTTGCTACATTTCACATCCAGCAGTGTTCATGGATGAATGATGCAATAGGTGAGGGCAGCTGCTTATTGCCTTGTGGCAGGGCCTGCTTTGAGGTCCCACAGGCTGGGATGGGGTTCCCCTCTACTGCTGCTTTGCTGATGGCTGCTGTGTCCCTGCTGTTCTTGTGGGCATGGGGCTGCTTTAACCCCAGCTGCATCCTCTCCTTTCTGAAGGCGAGGCATTGACATGGGGGAAGATGCCCCATCTGCAGCCACTCAGTGGGTTGTGTCCCTGGATCTGCTCTGAAGCAGATGGATGGATGATGGATGTTTTGGATATGCTGGATAACTTGTGTGCACATGAGGGGTAAAGTCATTCTTTGGCTCTTCTCTTTAGGTGGTTATATTGCTAGTAGTGCAGGAGGTGGGTGCAGGGCAGATGACAATACGTCTGCCAGGGAAACATTTCTTACACAAAGGGCCCAATGGAGCATTAAATAAGAAGTGTCTTCTCTCTTATATAGCAGCAGCAGAAGTAAGAAAGACAAATGCTTTGGGGATTTTTTTAAAGCGTTTTCAGAGTGGGGTGAAAGGCCTGAGTGTGGGGTATTTTGCTGCATTTAGTGGAGCGCCAGCTGCATTTTGGTTGCTTGGTCCCTTCTTTACATACTTCCCATCTTTAGGGCCTTAGAGAAATATCTGACAATTCAAAAAGAATTTGTACCTTCTTCCCCAGTCCCTGTAACCTAAAAGCATGTTTAGACAGAAAGTCTGCCGTGTGTCCTCTTTCCCTCTAGGAACACTCCATTAGCTGGAAAGGTCGCTTACAGACTTGAGTGCTGAGCCTGTTGTGCTTGGTCAGCACTGGAGCAGGCCCTGGGGAAGTCGCCAGAAGGTTGTGTAGCCTTAGCAACAGTGTTCTTATTGAGCTGGGTGCTGGGCTCCTTGCACTACTGCAGGTGTGAATTAGGGAACGGAGAGGCTTTCTCCTATCTTCAAGCACTCTGAAGTAATCCTTAATTTTAATCAGCCTGGTCTGATTACCTTGAAGTGGGTGAGGCAACCTCTGTGTAGTAGATCTCTTGCAGCAGGCAAAGGCAAGGCAGCGGACTATCTACTTATTTAAAAAAAAAGCATCTGGAATTATTCTCACTTGTGTTACTTACTCCCTTCCCAAAAGTGCCTCAATATGTCCTTGAGTGGCCTGTACCTTAACAAAGTATCTACCTTAGACCCATTTCTTCTTCACCTTATCCTTGTCTGCAGCACATCCGCAAGCTGAGATGATAAAACAAAGGGCTGGACCTGCAAAACGTGTGGAACGCTGCATTCTGCATGCCTCTGTGCACAGCTGAGAGACCTGGGTTGGAAGCTACAGCCTGAGCTAAACGCATAGGGAACTACAGTGGGTAGCATACTAAATAAGGAGCTGTCAGGAAAACGGCTTTAGAGGTGAGGTGAAGCTTAACTTCCAGTTGTGCTTAACTCTAGGCTCTGCTCACCTGGGCACTGGGGCTGGGAACTGGGAAAGGTCTTTTTTTTCTTTCAGAAAACAAACCTGGAACAAGAACTGAAACCTGGAGTCCCAGTGTTGTAGAGCAGCCCAACCCACCCTCCTGTTGCAGCCACATGCCGTGTGGGAGCATGGTGAGGGGATCCAGGCTGCTGGTCCATAGCATGATACAGCTGAGCCAGCTGCTTGGCTCAGTTGAAATCAGAATAGGGTGAGTAGGAGATAAATAACTTGGCTGCCCAGAATACTGAAGGTGGCTGGTGCCTAAAATACTAGGTCTAATCTCGTGATGAAGCAAGCCAGAGATGGCAAAGCAACCCAGGCTGCAGGCTTCTGACTGGTCAGATGTCAGTCCTTAAGCATCTGCTTGCTCCAGGTCTGAGCAGCAGCTCCCAGCAGTGGAAGTGTGGTCTTTTCTGTATTGCAGCAGGGTTTGGACAGCAGCAGCTTAACTTCAGGATGCTGTGGTACTGGCAGCTGGCTCCTTCTTTCCTAACCTGCCTGCCTGTTGTCTTGCCTGGGGCTGTGCTCTGGGGGTGAAAGCTGTAGTGCTGAATGCTTTTGCACAGGGCAAGGTCTGTTGCCAGAATCCTGTTTCCTTTTTACGTAGCTCTGAACTCAACTAGGCTGACAATTTGGACTGTGTTTTTAAACTAATCAATGCTTTCTAATGGTCACAACTGGAAAAGAAAAGTGTTAAAGTTAGTTAGGTTGAAAAAGTTTAGTCTTTCCTTTCCTTGTAATGATGTAGTCAACAAAATAATTGAGGTCATAAAGCTTTCCTTCCTTGAACCCACAGGGGTATGGCAGTCCTAGCAAAGCCCTGCTAAGGCAGGTGTTACTATCAGGCAGAAATCAACATGCTTCTGGCAGCACAGTCGTTCCTTCACTGAACCAGAACGAGCGCATGCTTTAAAATGTGTCTCCAAGAATGTAATTCCTAGATTGTTTAGCTGTGAATGTTTGGGAGGAAGGGAGGAGTGAGCACTCACCCCACCCACCATGGGTACATGGAGCCCATGTCCTCCATAGAATGTCTCATTTTAGGCACAAAACATACTGAAAGCTGACTTGTCTTGTATGTTTTCTACTCCAGTAGGTCATAGACAGGAGAATGTGTTTCCCAGTGAAGCACGGAGCAGTGAGGCGCTTTACTGCCTGTACCTATTGAAGGCAGAAGCTGTGCATAACTCGTTTGGCTCAGTCTGCTTCACTTCAGTACTAGGAGGCTACAAGAGCAGCAGCGCTTTGACTGTGTGCATCTGTGCTGTGCTTCAAAGTGCAAGCTATGTATTGCCACAAAAATAACAACAAACAAACAGGGTGGGAGGGGGTCACATGTAATCCACCAGCAGTCACTCTGGTCCTCCGAGCTCAGGCCCCTATGGAGCAGGATGTACAGCGCTCGCTTTATGCAAAGGCTCTGCAGCTGCTTGTGGTCATGGCTGGAGAACAAGAGCTGCACCAGCTTGGAAGGGGGCAGCTGCAACATTACCAATACAGCCAGGGGAACCAGAACACATTGCTCAGCTTCACCTCCTGTGTTAAATGACTTGGTCACTTTTTTCAGTCTCTTAGGTAGGCTGACTTGCTTCCTCCTGGGTAGAAGTCTATGGTATGCTGTAGGAGAGGGGGAGCTGCAGTTAGCTTCCAGTGGAAGCTGCTTTTGATCTCCCTGCAGTATCTGCAGGGGAGGCAAGGAACACTATTGAGTTGGACAGAACAAGCTGCAGAGGATGCATCTTATTGCTATACCTTTAGGGGGTCTCTCCCCATTTTTATCTTGCATTATAAGCTTTTATTCAAGTGTAAAGCTAAAACCCACTCGGGTTAAGTAGCAAAGTCTAATGGGACGGACTCCATGTGTACGTCTGGTCTTCCACCAGGCTTCTGCTGGCTGGCAGCAGGGAGTGCAGGTCCTGTTCCTGAGAGACTGAGCTGGGGGAAAAAGTCGAGCCTGGGCTGAGGGCAGCCCCTGCCCCAGGAACTGGTCATACTATTCCTTTTAATATGCAAGTGCAGCTCTCTTGGGGAAAGCTACCTAAAGCTTCTTGTGCCATTTGGTTAATAAAAGTGTTTCCACCTTTAAAAGAAAGTTATTTCCAGCTTCGTTGTTCTAGAATCAGTTTAAGTGAAGGGGTATATGCATTTTTCCCTCTACCACTGGGACACTGCTGTAAGACCATGCCCCCAGGTTGCACTTTAATAAATGGTACAGTTTTCAAAAACATGTCGGTTGTGTTTTGATATTTTTTTTTTCCTCCCGTGTTCAAGTGCAGGTACCAGCAAACAACAGAGGTCAGTTTCTTTATGCAGAGTGCACAGCCAAGAGCAAACAGCTGTTACCACTGCTCTGTTACCACTAGCAGCAGCAGCATAGCAAGAATGCTGTAAGGACTTGCACAAAAGCCCTACGTTTCTGTGAAAGGGGGGAGAAGAAATCCAGTTGCTTAACATGCACATGTCATGTCCATTTTTATTTAAAAAAAAACAAACAACAGAAAACACCACCAATAAAAGGACATTATTTACATGATTTCTTCAGAGGCAGCTGGATCACAAGTAGAGCCTCAGCCACCACGTACGTGATGACACATACATCAAACAACCTGAGTCCAAGTCTGTTCATTGAACCTGAGATGTGAATACAATGTGCTACTGCCCAGAGAGACACCAGGTACTCCTCCTCATTCTAGGCTGGTATCTTTTTTTCTCTCCAGCAAGCTGCTCTGAAGCCAATGACCACCTTTTCTCAAGCATATCCGGATACTATTCCCCCCCAAAATCCACTCCTGTACCTTGCCCAGCTGCAGCAGAGAAACCTGCAGGATGCAGCAGTTGGTTAGAAATACTGACAAGGTGGGCTTAGCACCCAGTGCACTTCCCCTAGAGGCATGAGCCAGGGGCTGTACCTGCATTACATCTGCTACTGATAAGGAGAGGGAAGAAAAAGAAAAAAAAAAAAAGAAAAAACACCTATTTTGTAAAATGGAGAAGAGTAAGCACTATATCTTACAGGTGCTGGCAGACCAGTCATGCAGCTCTCACTACCATCGCTACTGTGCTACTCTACAAAAGCCCATCTACAAGCTCTGCCTTCCCTTTCGCAGCTGTGTCTCAAAAGTTATGAGCAGAAGAAGTATCTGAGCAGATCAAGAAGTTAAAAAGTCTTCAGGAAGCCAGTGGCTGGAGATCTCTCACTCACGCAGCTAGGAGGAAAGAAATAGAACCAGCATTAGCCACAACAGTGTCTTCTTGCAGCCACAAGCCCTCTGCCTGCCTGCCCAGCCCATGGACTTGGGCACATGCCAGGGAGGCAAAGCAGCAGCAGCCCGCGCACCCACGAAGGCACCTGCGCTCTATGCAGATCCATGCCTCAATGCTGCCACCTGCTGCGCATCTGTTAGCCCTCAGCCCCACATTCTGTGCTAGGACTGGCTTTGGGGGGGTCCCAGGGAAGTGAGCAAAAGCTGGATATTGCCCTCAGCCTTTGGAGCTTGCATATACCAGCATCTCCTCCCTGCCAAGCCCCCAGAGCCGCAGGCATTATAGGAAAAACAGCAGGCATCTGGCCATGCTTGCAGGGAGTAACCAGGGAGGAGACTGGCTGTGACTTGCACTGAGCTGCAGAGCTGCCGGGTAGCACTCACCATTCTGACAACGTAGTTGTGGAGGTGTTGGCTGATGTAGTTCACAGTGGTGCTGAAGACACGCTGTAGAAGGGAAGGCACCCGGTTTGCCACTTTCTTAGTTAAGAGCATTGCTAGCACCAACATGGCCTTCTCTTGCTCCAGATCTGATGGGATGGCTCTGGCAAGCCCTTCTACTGCCTGTGACAGGTACCGTGTTATCTCCTGCATAGAGGGGAGAGAGGATGTCAGTGCAGCAACTGTGCACCTGTACAGACACAGCACAAGCTGCCACGTTTCTTCCCAGGCTGTTACACACCCAGGTGGCAGCAAGGATGACTGATGGCCTCAAAGCTCAGCTGCTCCCCCAAAAAAACAAAGAAACAAGGAAACACCACACAGCATTGGAAGAATTAGGTAGCACCCTACACATTTAGGGTGCAGCAGCTCAGAATCTGCACCTAGCCTGCCCGGTCCTGAAGAAGGCCCAAGAACCCTGGAGACAGGAACCTACCTTAATCTAAACACTGTAAGTAGCAGGGCTACGTGCCTAGGGGCAAACTGGTACGGAGAAAAGCTTCACAGAAAAGTCTTCACATAGGCAGGAGCGAAACAGGGGTCCAGGCACAGAACAACCACTACCTCACTTCTGCTTCTCCACTCCCCTCAAAATAAAATCATTTCAGTCCTGCCTTTTCAAGCCCAAGCAGACCCTCAAATCAAAGGCAGCTTTAACTTCATCGCAGGCAGAGAAAAACCAAGCAAGCTAAACATCCAGTTATGCAGTTATCTCTTGAAGAAGCCAAAAGGCTCTGGGGAAGCAAATTGTGGCTGTTGACCCAGATGTGGATACTTCCCTTGCAGAGCAGTGAGGCACATTAGATGCTGGACCAGGGATGCTAAGTCTCATCCCATCATAAGCTAAGAGAGAACCTGCACTGGAGAGAAGAAGAGAGAAGCAGTGGAGGTGCCACCCACAGAGGCCTTTTCAGCAGGTTACCCCTACCAGCCCAAACCCACTGCTACTCCCAACACCAACAGCCTGTGAGCCAGAGGATTAAGGCACCATAAGAGGGAGCACTGGATCTCACTGCTTGCTGAGTCTCAGTGTTCAGTGATAAACACAAGCCAAACTTCTGCCAGATCTGTCCATCTGACAAGCAGCTGACATGAAGATCCTAAAATTACCTCTGAAAGTCAGCCCTGCTCCACAACCTCACTTTCCCCGCCTGCAGAAAGGGACAGAGCCCAAGCAACTCACTTTGCAGGGCAAAGGCTGCCAAGGATACAGGCTCACCATAGCATCTTCTCTAACAGAACTTCACATCAAATATTAACATTTCAGATTAATTTCAGAAGTGCAGTAATGCATCAAATTAGCAAAGGCGTTGCAAACTTGCTGCTTCAGTCACAGCACGAAAGACTCAACGTTTGTAAGGGGAGCTACTCATCAGATTGCTTTTCACTCACCTCTCTAGGCAGATTCTCATTCAGAAAATGTTGCACTAGATCATTTACTACTTTTGCTTTGATTTGTTTATCCAGCTGGTCTCCGATCTCAGCAAGCTGAGCAGCAATGGTCCGGACGATTTCTTCATTTACCTCAGGGTCAAGCACTGCCAACACACACAGCAGGATTTGGTTCACAGGCTGCAGTCACACTGGGTTCAGCACAGGTGAGGTGAGCTAGGGCATTTTGCCCATCTCCATTGCCAATCTTCCCCTACCCCCAACCTTCTTCCCATACTGCCTTTGTGACAGCCATACTCACTAAATGGGGGAAGTCAGAACAATTCCAACCAAGATTTGTTCAAGACAACTACAGCCAACATTCTGTCTAGAGAGGGGAGGGAAGGAAGAGTGTGCCTGATCTCTCAACTGACAACTGCCAGGACCTGTGTCATGAACACCATCTAAAACACAGCATCTCCTTTTGGCAAAGCTTCCCGTTGTCACTTTGGGCCATGAAATCAATACATTTTGCAAGATGAGGCAATGTTTACTATAGTGGTTACTCATTACACTGCTTCACTACTTCAAGGTGCCAGCTGGCACTTTGTGGGCAACGTGCAATACCCATGCTGCTTAGGGCTAAAGAAGCAAGAACAGTACAAGGAACTATATAAGAAATTGCCTCTGCCACACTAGTATAGCACAGGGAATTAACTCAGTACCAGAAAAAGAGCTGCTCCTAAATCCTAGCTGAAGTGCTGAAACAAAACTCCTTGAGGAGCAACGGGAAGCTTAACAGAACCACTTAAGATCCCACTGCTTAAGGACAGAAACCATTAGCACCAGATTTGTAGCCCTTATCTCACATGCTACAGACTGTGCAGAGGGACAAGTGCTCAGCCACCAAAAGGGAGCTGCACTGCCAAGCATTAGCTGTCTTACCCCAAGTGATAAAACCCCAACCAATACAACCACCAGCTGTGAAGTTTCTCTGTGCAGAGAATATTGCCAACCGTCTGTCACAAGACAGTCAAGAGACAAGGGGATAGAAACAAAGCCCACCATCTTCACAGAAGGCACGTGGGGAAAAAAGAGAGCACTCACCTAGCTCACCATTCTGCAAGTGGCCACTTCGATTCCCATCGGTCTGAAGTTCCCCATCACTATCATAAGATTGAACACCTTTAGTGGAACACAACATGCCCTGGCTTTGTAGGAATGGCAGCTGCTCTCTGAACTCACAGCCAGAGGACTCCGCCAGGAAAGCAAAGAGCAGCATGCGTTCCATATGGTCAGATCCATCACTATAGATATCCTAGGTGGAAGAAGAATCACTGTTAAACCCACATCCTGCTGTGTAGGTTTGTACAGATGCTGTTTTTCTTACAGTGGACACCTTTTTCTGGTCTCCTTTAGGTACGGTGCACAATAGTGCCCAGTTTGCAGGAGCTGAGCAAATGCACACTAACTCCTAGCTGCATACATGCACACAGCACTGTGCTGGTTAATGCTGACTGGCTCTGGTCTTACAAACCAGCAGTTGAGGTGTCAGCTCATCTCTTGAGTGGCAAGGACGAAATCCCTGATCAGGACTCCTCTTCTGAAACAAAGATGAACACTCAGCACAAGTGACTCTATTCACACATCTGTTTCAAAGGTTTTCCCTGTATTTGGAAATTGGGCACCCTACTTCCTGTACAGAACTAAGCCAACAGTTCCCCATTTAACTTTAATCAGAGCACAGCAGTAACAAGGTGGGGAGCAGAGATAACAGACAGCATAAGCCTGCAAAAAAACTCAAGTTTGCATTCCTTTTCCCTCTTGAATGGGATCTAGACAAGCTCCATAAAAAACATATTTAGATCCCTGCACAGTCAGGCAGCTGCTCATAATAGCAAGACAGCAGACCATTGGTGCCTCATATCCATTTGCTTGCAGTAAGCAGGCACATGCTGCTTCTGCTGTCACATGCTGTCTTCCATCAGGGCAGCACAGAGTGCCCAGGTGGGTTAGGCTGAGGAGGTCCAGCAGGTGGGCAGTGATGAGAGCAAGAAGTCCCACAGGGCCTCAACCAACCAAGACCTTTGCAGGAAAACAGAAGGCTGTCCAGTAACCCCAATTAAACAGCTGATGAAGCAGGACGTGTGAG